ACTGGAAAGGATATCATTGAAGAGTATAGTTCTTGCAAACACTTGGTGTGTGCAAATCAGTGAAGTCTAGTGATAAACATCCTGGAGAGAGTGAAAATTTGGCAAAAGTTGTAAACCACTTGCTGTTGCTTTAGAGAGCTCTCCTGGCTAATTCAACATAAGACCACAAAGGCTAGAGATGTTTTAAACTTTTTTTTTTTATTTTAAAGAACCAGTTGGCTTAATTTATCTTAGGAAAATATTAGAAATTATCATAAATATCAGGTAGGTAAGAAAAGCTCAGAAAGTAACCAGAATACAGTCACCCAAGAACTTATTAGTTTTGTCCACAAAATTGTAATCACCCAAAGGAATGTACCCAAAGCCAAAATGGGAAGAAAGAGTTGGTTGAGGATGTGTCATTGCCTTGAGATATTAGAAGCTCGGTTCTTGGAGTCAGGGAGACCCAGACATGAATTCTGACTTTGTGCCACTAAACAAGTATATGACTTTGAGCTAGTTGCATTATGTATTTGAGACTAGTTTTATCATCTGTAGACAAGAGACAAGACAAAGGAAGTATTTACAGTCCTCACTTTGTTACAGAAAAAGCAAGAAATCTGAAATGTTTCCTGTCACTATTGCCATATGCAATCTTGCTGTTTTAAACCTGCACAAACTAAAGGATCTTAGGAATGTGGGTGACCAGGACTGTACAACCAGGTGTTTTCTCCTACAACGACCATAGTGCAAAGTCCCGGGTGTAGTCCTGGCTCCCAGGTTGTTATCTGAATCAAGTAGCATTTCAGCATTATGCTTTTACTAAAATTAAATGAGATCAGTTTCTTGATTTCTCCTTCTGTTGCTTCATTATTGGTGTATAAAGATGCAACCGATTTCTGTTCATTGATTTTGTATCCTGCAACATTGCCGAATTCATGGAATGAAAGCTGGTGCAACCCCTCTGGAAAACAGTATGGAGGTTCCTCAAAAAATTAACAGTAGAACTCCCCTATAACCCAGCAGTAGCACTGCTAGGAATTTACCCAGGGGATACAGGAGTGCTGATGCATAGGGGCACATGTACCCCAATGTTCATAGCAGCACTCGCAACAATAGCCAAAACATGGAAAGAACCTAAGTGTCCATCAACTGATGAATGGATCAAGAAGATGTGGTATATCTATACAATGGAATACTACATGGCAATGAGAAAGAATGAAATCTGGCCATGTGTAGCAACACGGATGGAACTAGAGGGTGTTATGCTGAGTGAAATAAGTCAGGCAGAGAAGGACAGATACCATATGTTTGCACATATAGGAGATTAGGGGGAACTTAACGGAGGACCATGGGGGAGAAGAAGAGGGGGAAATAGTTGGGGAGAGGGAGGGAGGCAAACCATGAGAGACTCTTGAATGCTGAGAACAAACTGAGGGCTGAGCTGGGGTGGGGGAGAGGGGAAGGGGGTGATGGGCATGGAGGAGGGCACTTGCTGGGATGAGCACTGGGTGTTATATGTAAACCAACTTGACAATAACCATTTAAGGAAAATTAAATTAAATTAAATTAAATGACAGTTTTTCCCACTCATCTCAAAGGTTTTCAAATCAGGAGATGTTTACTTTTTAGTCCCCACTCTATAGAGAAGTTAGCATCAGCTGCCAGCCCAACAAAGCTGGCATTTATTCTTACAATGACATATAATTCACATCATCTAACCATACCTGGAGTTCTGGTTGTGAACCTCCAGATTCATCTCCAGAAACCTCTCATTGCTTTCTTCCAACTTCTCCATATAAGAAACTCTGTGTGTGTGTGTGTGTGTGTGTGTGTGTGTGTGTGTGTGTTGTATTAAGGAAGTTAAGTTGGAGAATACCATAACCAACATCCCAGGTCCCCTCATGTCCTATTTATCCTTTTAGAGCATAGACAGCAGTAGGTGGAAGCTCATGGAACCATTACGAGATACTCGATTTTGTGCTCATCTCTGATGCTCCAAATAAGGATCAGGCAGTTTGACCCATACCTGATTCAATAACCAAATAGCACAACACATGTTACAGGAAAATCTTTCATGCTTAGAGAAAGTTGTGTCTTGGAAAAGAATCCTGCCCAGCCGTTCTCAGCTCGTCAGGCCCTAGTAAGAGAAAGAAATCACACCAATTACTTTAATAAAGAGAATTTAATATCGGGTTGTTGTCCAAATATTAGGGCAACTAAAAAGACAAAAAGATGCTGGCATCTCGTGGAGCAGCAGATGTGGGGAGTAGCTACCATGCTGCTTCATGGGACCACGAAAACTCAGAGGCTCAGAGGAGGGGCCTGCAGACCAGGATGCAGAGCCCTGAGGTGGGGCCACTGCTGGGCCATCCTGGTGTCTCTGAGCTTGAGCAGGGGCTCCATGGAATGGTACCCAGATTTTGGAGGAGAGGGTGCCAACCATCGCTGCTGGTGTCTCTGAAGGGCAGTGATGAGGCTGGGTGTGTGAGGGTCAGAGACACCGTTCACTTGAGTGGATTGCTGCTGGCCGGAAGACAGAAGATGTGCTGTCACCAGGGCATCTGCTGGAACTGGAGGTCAAATCCCTTTTTTCTGCTCCAGCTTTCCCATTTCCCTCCAGAACCTTCTATTAATGGAACCTAATAAGGAGCAGTGGGCAAGGCAAAATGGTCCACAGAGTCTGGGGCCCAGTATCAGAAGAATAAGTCCAGAAGAGTAGGTTTGGAACCAAGGCAGTAGGTTAATAGATTTGCCAGCCCATCACACCTCAAAGGCATTCTTTTTTTTTTTTTTAATATTTTTATTTATTTCTAGGAGAGAGAGAGAGAGAGACAGCGTGAGCAGGGGGAGGGTCAGAGAGAGAGGGAGACACAGACTCTGAAATAGGCTCCAGGCTCTGAGCTGGCAGTCAGCACAGAGCCCAACGCGGGGCTCGAACCCACAAACCGCGAGATCATGACCTAAGCGAAAGTCAGACGCTTAACCGACTAAGCCACCCAGGCACCCCCTCAAAGGCATTCTTGAAACAGACTGTGTTCATGTGCTTCTTGGTTGGCCACAAACCTTAAGCAATTCCTTCAACATCTTTGGTGGGACCAAGCCTTGACTTTAAGTAGTCCTGGGACAGGCTTTCTCCACCGCCATGTTTCTGTTAAAGTCATTAACACAAAACAGATTTTTGTGGCTGTCTATGTGATATGTAATGATAACTCTTAACTGTTGGTTTTTCTTTCATTCACCAGGTAGACGTAGTTTTGCAGTTGTTATAAATATACAGTTTAAATAGCTTGATTTCATGAAAAAGAGAAGAAACATTATGCCTCTCTGATTTTTCTACTCAAATAGAACTTTTTAATGCAAATGAAAGCATGATTCAAGCATAAAAACAACCTAATTGCTAATCATATTTTTAATGATCCCTTATTAGAGCAAAATTTAAAGTGAATACAAGCATATGAGAAGCTTTTCTCATGTATCCATAGTTTGTATCTATCACTCATAAAGCTAACCTTGCATGTCCTTCCAGAATTGAGAGAAACACATACTTTTACTCATGTTGAATCTATTTCTTAAATGCAAACAACAGCCTCAGCAAGTGACAAGGTTCTTAAGACCTGTACTAAGTCTTGTCCTTTTGATTATGTTTTGAAAAGGAGACTATTCACTTACTAGTTTCCCTAAGACTCCAAGCCTGAGCTTTTGCGTATGCGCGCGTGCACACGCGTGTGTATGTGTGTGTGTGTGTGTGTGTGTGTGTGTGTGTGTACCAGTAACTTCATGCCTTACTATCCTTAGGCAGAAACTAAGAGAGGGAAAATCTAGGTGTGCCAGCATCAAACACTGTCTGGCTTGGATCAGAGAGGTGAAAAATGTTTCTGTCAACCTCAGCTTGTGAATTTTTAAAGCTAGCAGTTGTACTTCCCTTGATTTACAAGGACAAAGAAACGGCAAAGAAAGCATTCCACAGGAAGAATTAGATATAAAAACGTCCCAGTTCCTAAACATACATCAATAATCCTAGCTTTGCTCAAATGTAACGCCTCAGAAAACATTTCCGTGGAACATGGGGAAGTTGTAGAGGAGCTTTAAAATGGTTTAATCCCCAAGGACTTTAACACAGGGACTTTGGGCGATAGTTCCCATTTTGTCCTCACCCAGCATGGAAAGCAAGGAGGTGTGGCCTCAGTCCTGCCAGCTGCAGGTGAAGAGCACCTTCAGGACTGAACTTAAGGTGGGCACCTGCCACTTAAACCTTGGACGGTGTCAGCAGCACCAGGCACTACGTGAATGAAGAAAATGTTGGAGGACTCTGTGTGACGGACATCACAGAGTTAACATCGTTAATAAGTTTTGGAGATGAAGCAAATCAAATACAATCTGATCTCAAGATCAGGATTCCTACAAGAGTGGAAGAAATAAGAACAGGCTTGAGTGTAGCGGCTGTCTGGTCCCAGTGCTGGTGTGGGCCAGGCTGGATTGGGTGGGTGAAGCAGTAGTAATGGAGGGAGCCAGCTCAGGACTTTTATCACCTTGTATGTAACATTTGCAGGAGGCATTCTTGGCTCCAAATAGTAATGCTCACAGTCCTTCCTGCTGTTTACTAATGCTCCTGCCTGTTGTTTCTAGAAGCAGGCTTTGTCAATTAGGTTCTGTTCCTCACAGTGTGGTCCCAGACCAGCCGTGTTGCCCAGAGGCCCACTAGAAATGCAGATTGTCAGGCCCCATCCAGACTGACTGAATCAGAACAAGCTCCTCAGGTGAATCCTGTGCCCATGAAGATTAGAAACGCACAGCCAACCGTCCTCCCCAGTATGTCTGACTTGCCGCTCGCCATACATTACCAGGTATTTCCCACAACATTCTGCTTCCGGGTTTTTCTCATCTTTATTGAGATATATTTGATATAACATTATGTAAGTTTAAGGTACACAATGTGATGGCACGCTATATGTATGTTTTGTGGCATGATTGCCCCGATAGGCTTGGTTTATACATCCATCACCTCTCACAGTTACCGTAAAAATATAAAACAAGTCACAAACTTGTGTGTCATTCTTATGCAGAAGCCCTGCTAATCTCTGTATCATTCGGATCTTAGTCCATATGCTGCTGAAGTAAGCACTCTGCTTCCATCTGAAGCCCATTTCCTAATTTCTTCCCGTTCCCTGAATGCCACATAAATTCTTCACCAGCCTTCACCTCACCGGATTTTCCCATTAGATAAAATAATTTTTATTTTATATAACTTTTTATTTTAATAACTTTTCCCATTAGACAAAATAATAAGGATGGAAGGAAAGGTGGAAGGCAGAGAGGGAAGGAGGAAAGAGAAGAAAAAAATAAAAAAAGGAAGATGGGAAGGAAGAAAAAGTGGAAAGGGATATAGGGAAGGAGAAAAGGGACTCATTTACAATCATGCCATAGTATGGTTGGGGTTCGTGGGATCTGTTTCAAACACATACACATATACACAAAAATACAGTGGAACTTTGAGCAATGCAGGGGTTAGGGGCACCACCCCTCCACACCATTGAAAATCCGCATACTATGGTGACTCCCCAAGAGTTAACTACTAATAGCCCACAGTTCAAGGAAGCCTGACCAATAACCTCAACAGTCAACTAATACATATTTTGTATGCTGTATTATATACTGTAGTTTACAATAAAGGAAGCTAGAGAAAGAAAATGTTATTAAGAAAACTCATAAGGAAGAGAAAATACATATGCAGTACTGTACTGAAAAATATCCACATATAAGTGGACCACAGAAACACGTTCAAACCCGTGTTGTTCAGGTATCAACTCTGTATCCCATCCGCTGTTCCCATTTTATTTTTTTAAGTTTATTTATTTATTTTGAGAGAGAGAGAGAGCATGAATGAGTGAATGGGGGAGGGGTAAAGACAGGGAGGGAGAATCCCAAGCAGGCTCTGCACTGTCAGAACAGAGCCTGATGCAGTGCTCAAACTCATAAACCATGAGATCATGACCTGAGCCAAAGTCAAGAGCCAGGTGCTTAACCAAGTGAGCCACCCAGGCACCCCTCACTGCTTCCACTTTAAAATGAAGCAGTTACTTTCATACACTGTTGAAGTGAATGTTAATTGGTATGATAATTTGGAGGGCAATTTGGCAATGTCTATACACATTTTTTAAATGCACATTCTCTTTGATCTAGCAATTTCAGAATTTATCCTACAGAAATATGTGCATACATGCAAGGCATTTTCACAAAAACGTATGTCAAAAGTATTTGTTGAAGGATTGTTTTATTTTTTTTTAAGGGTTTTTTTTTTTTTTTTACAAATAGTTTATTGTCAAATTAGTTTCTACATAACACTCAGTGCTCATCCCCAAAGTGCCCTCCTCCATGCCCATCCCCCCTTCCCCCCCACATCCATCAGTCCTCAGTTTTTGTCAGCATTCAAGAGTCTCTCATGGTTTGCCTCTCTCCCTTTCCCCCACCATTTCCGCCCTTCTTCTCCCCCTTGTTCCTCCGTCAAGTTCCTCCTAATCCTCCTATACGTGCAAACATATGATATTTGTCCTTCTCTGCCTGACTTATTTCGCTCAGCATAACACCCTCAAGGTCCATCCATGTTGCTACACATGGCCAGATTTCATTGTTTCTCATTGCCATGTAGTATTCCATGGTATAGATAAACCACATCTTCTTGATCCATTCATCTGTTGATGGACACTTAGGCTCTTTCCATGTTTTAGCTATTGTGGAGAGTGCTGCTATGAACATTGGGGTACATGTGCTCCTATGCCTCAGCATTTCTGTATCCCTTGGGTAAATTCCTAGCAGTGCTATTGCTGGGTCATAGGGGAGTTCTATTGTTAGTTTCCTGAGGAACCTCCACACTGTTTTCCAGAGGGGCTGTACCAGTTTACATTCCCACCAACAGTGTAGGAGGGTGCCCGTTTCTCCACATCCTCGCCAGCATCTAGAGTTCTCTGATTTGCTCATTTTAGCCACTCTGACTGGCGTGAGGTGGTATCTCAGTGTGGTTTTGATTTGTATTTCCCTGATGAGGAGGGATGCTGAGCATCGTTTCATGTGTCTGTTGGCCATCTGGATGTCCTCTTTGGAGAAGTGTCTGTTCATGTCTTCTGCCCATTTCTTCACTGGGTTGTTTGTTTTTCGGGCGTGTAGTTTGGTGAGTTCCTTATAGATTCTGGATATTAACCCTTTATCTGATATGTCATTTGCAACTATCTTTTCCCATTCCGTTGGTTGCCTATTAATTTTCTGGGTTGTTTCCTTGGCTGTGCAGAAGCTTTTAATCTTGATGAGGTCCCAACAGTTTATTTTTGCTCTTGATTCCCTTGCTTTTGGGGATGTGTCAAGTAAGAAGTTGCTGCGGTGGAGGTCAAGGAGGTTGTTTCCTGCTTTCTCCTCTAGGGTGTTGATAGTTTCCTGTCTCACGTTCAGGTCCTTTATCCATTTTGAGTTGATTTTTGTGCATGGTGTGAGAAAATGATCTAGTTTCATTCTTCTGCATGTTGCTGTCCAGTTCTCCCAACACCATCTGTTAAAAAGGCTGTCTTTTTTCCATTGGATATTCTTTCCTGCTTTGTCAAAGATCAGTTGGCTGTATACTTTTGGGTCCACTTCTGAGTTCTCAATTCTGTTCCATTGGTCTATGTGTCTGTTTTTGTGCCAATACCATACTGTCTTGAGGATGACAGCTTTGTAGTAGAGGCTGAAGTCTGGGATGGTGATACCTCCCGTTTTGGTTTTATTTTTCAGTATTACTTTGGCTATTCGGGGTCTTTTGTGGTTCCATACAAATTTTTGGATAGTTTGTTCTAGTTTTGAGAAGTATGCTGGTGCAATTTTGATTGGAATTGCATTGAATGTGTAGAGTGCTTTAGGCAGTAATGACATCTTAACTATATTTATTCTTCCTATCCATGAGCATGGAATGTTTTTCCATTTCTTTGTGTCTTCTTCAATATCTGAAGGATTGTTTTAATAGCAAAAAGCTGTAAATAGCCTGAAGGAATCAATAACAGCTATTTTGAAAAATCAGCATATATCCCTGCAGAAGAATACTATCCTGCCATTGAAGATGAAAAGAATTAAGGAAGATCTGTGTATGCTTATGAGATGAGCTCTCTAGATTTATTATAATTAACTGAGAAAAGGTGCAGAACAATAGGGATGTTGTGATCCCATCTGCATGTTATTTTTTAGTATCTGTGTGTGTGTATTCATAAAACTGTTAATAACTTAATCTGTTTACATCCAATGAAATATTCTACAGCCATTAAAAATACTATTTTTGGCAGAATTTTGAGTAATTTGGGACATTTTTGTGATATAGTGGTAGGTTACAAGAAAGGTAGGATATTGGTGTCATAGTTTTTTGCCCTCACCTTTCCTGAGCATTTCCCAAGACTATTAAATATTAGTCTAAAAATATCATTAATTTCCCTATAATATAATATCTTACTCTTGGGTTTTAGGCTTTTAGTTTTTTTCAACTCATGTATATTAGGTAAATATTTTTCTGGCCTAACGGTGTTTTCAAATATTTCAAACAATTTAACTTTCCTAAGCTGTCTAAGCTAAATGTCTTGTAATTACTGGTTCATAGGATATAACCTTTTATTATAATTACTGGTTCATAGAATGTGATCCCTGATATTTATTGCCAAATTGGCTTTTATGATCCACAAAGATTTTTAATGTAATATCTTCAATTCTTGGTAATGTGATTGGTTATTAAAAGTCACCATTTGTTCAACCAATTTTAACAGATTTCTTTTTTTATGTTTATTTATTTTTGAGAGAAAGAGAGAGAGTGACAGAGGGGCAGAGAGAGAGGGAGACACAGAATCCGAAGCAGGCTCCAGGCTCTGAGCTGCCAGCACCTAGCCTGATCCGGGGCTCAAACTCAGAAATGGGAGATCATGACCCAAACTGAAGCCAGATGCTCAACCAACTAAGCCACCCAGGCACCCCATTATCAACAAATTTTTATTTTAATTTTTTAAATGTTTGTTTATTTTTGAGAGAGGGGAGGGACAGAGAGAGGGAAACACAGAATCTGAAGCAGGCTCCAGGCTCTGAGCCATCAGCACAGTCCCCAATGCAGGGCTTGAAATCACGAACCGTGAGATCATGACCTGAGCCAGAGTTGAATACTTAACCAACTGAGCCACTCTGGTGCTCCTCAACAACTTGAGATAAAAACAGTTATTAATGCCGACTGTGTGCCAAGATCTCTTAAAAGCACAATGCACACTGTTACAAATAATACATGAACCTGCCTTTGCTACTTAAAGCATGATCCTGGGCCAGCACACTTAAACACTTCATTACACTCTGATGGGATTCAGGCTATCATAGAATATGTTTAAAGTACCGTGGGACACAGCATGCCTCTGGTATACTTGTGATAATTAACCAAGAAAGGTACTAGATTCTCATACTTCCCTTTGACTCTTCCTCTCCCACATTCTGACTAAAGAGTGGTGTTAGTTTGTAATAGGGAAAAACTCTTCTTGCTGTTATCAGAGTTTACTATTAACTGCATCTGACTATAACAAGGAAGTAGAAAAGAAACTCACCCTAGTTTGTGGTGTCAAGGTTTGGCACCATTTATATATTCCACAGATTCGGAAGGTGATAAGCCTCCTTCAAGGATACATACTTTCATCCTGAATCTATAACCAAACCTGACCTTCTAACACCCATTTCCCCTGGCTTCTCAGAATAGAAAAATAGTTATCTGGCCTTCAGAGCATTTGTCCTAACCTCCAAAACAAATCTCCATGGAAATGGAACAAACCAGCCTCCACAAATAGCACTTGCTACTCTCTTAATATTCCCTAGGCCCAGAAATTCTAAATTGGAACATTATAATAAGGTTGATTAAAAGAAGCTGCCAATATTTCACTGTTTTTTTAACCTGTGAAAGTGGCAATTTCATATGGTTCAACTAAAACTTGCTATTTAATTCTTCCTGTGTCTTCCCAAGTGTATCCCAAGGCAACCCGTGTATTAGACCTAGTTGAAACTTTATTTCACACCAAGTGGTTGCTGCAATTTCTGGCCCAGAAACTAAGAAAAGAGAAAAATGATTAACATGGGCTTATGCTTGGTTGT